GTCTGTCTGAATACATGTATATGTGTGTTTAAGTGTTAAAAAGACCGGAGCCGGTTCATAGAGTGCAATGACTGAATGCTGCTTGTTAGTCTCCTCTACATTGATCAATAATATTAAGCTTTACTACATACAAACACACAAATGCACATACTGCATACTAATAAACTCATAGAATGGGTTGTGTGCCTGAGTGAACAAAAAAGAGAACTTTAAATGGATGCTTGCTGTGATCGTGTGTGCATGCTTGAAAAAGAATATTTATGTTTAACACTGATGTGTGCAAAGGGACACATGCTGTCTGTGTGTGTGTGTGTGTGTGTGTGTGTGTGTGCATTTGATCAAAAGTATGTGTTATTAATGTCCCACAACAAACATCAATATCATACAAGGCAACAGTGTTTCTCCCCTCTCGCTCCATTAGCAGCTAACCTTTTAAACAAACCCTGGTCTCTGTAAGGCTGTTTCTGCAATACCTACAAGATGGGAAAAATACATTAGGAATTACACTTCAAGCTACACAGAAAATGCTGATGGGAATCCATACTTCCTGCTTACTTTTCATTTTCTTTGGCATAAAGCTGTGAGTGGGCTTGAAAAACAACGTGCAAGGGAGACATTAGGGTAATGGAGAAAAAAGGTTGGGGTGTTGTGGGGGGGTGGGGGGGTGGTCTAAAGGTACTTGAACCACCACAAACACAAAAATACTTTGCCCACATTATTTTTACCCTGCTATAGTTATATAGTAGCATTCTCTTTGAGGTAGGAATAGAGTTATATTGAGGGTCCCCCTACTGAACAGGATTGCTGAGTCTCCCATTTAGTTTTAAAGGTCCAGTGTAGAGCATAAGAGGATCTATTGGCAGAAATGGAATTAAATATTCATAGGGGTGTTTTCATTAGTGAATAATCACCTGAATACAGGGATTGTTATGTTTTTGTTACTTTAGAATGAGCTGTTTATAACTGCAGATGATGCCGGTCACCTTCCACCATGTTGAACCGTCAAGTTTATACAGTAGCCTATAAGAGACAAACCAAACATTGGCTCTAGATAGGGCCGTATACGTTTTTAGCACGTTTCCCGTAGTTTCTCCTTTCGCACTTAGAAGGGAAGGGTGAAGGGAGGGAGTTGTGATCTGCATATACACCACAAGATGCCACTTATCCTACACACTGGTCCTTAAATAACCATCAGAGTGTTGGTTTGTTGAGAGAAAAAAAACACAGCACCTAAACGTACCTTTGGCTTTTGACACACCTAGGCATTCTCCTTATGCTTCCAGTCTTTAGGCTAAGCTATGCTGAACGTGTCCTGGACAAGAAACCTCTCTTCTAGCGACACCAAGAACTCAAGTAATCTAAGAAAAGGATGGCGAGAACATCAAATTCCTGGGAGATGACAGGAGTGAAAATCCACTTCCATGTCACCCTCTAATACAGATAGATATCCTGAATTTAAAGCACACCCACATTTCCTCAGAGCTGCTACATAAATATCCCCTCAAACCTTCATACATTTCAGCGCTCTCTCCCTCAAATGCACCACTTGGGTATATTTCAGCCATGTATTTTTGAAATAGTATTTTTTTGACCTCTGTCTTCAACAGACCTCAAGGATCTTCTCTGTTTTCTTTGTGGTTATAAACCTAAAGCTAGGCAGTCTGAGTCTGCCTACAGTAAAACACTCATCTGGGATTATGAGCCATTTATTAATCTCAGCTCAGTAATACTATGAGAGCCTCGCTTCAGAATCCAATGAATATTTCACACTTTCATTTCATATGCAATCTCTGGTGCTCAGAAGTGTGTATTGCTGGGTATCATTTTGTGCAGTTTATTTCTGTCTGTGTGTCTGTGTGTCTCACCGTATGTGTGTTTGGGGAATTAGTGTGTGGCACTTTATTTGATCCCAGTATTGAAATGTGTATTTTGTAGTATGGATGTGCCTTTATGTTTGGTTTCTGCACTGCAATCGTATTTTAGTTTTGTGCAGCTTCACTGCATTCAAAGGAGATTAACAAAAAGCATTACTATCCTTTTTGAGTGAATATGAGGAGAGTTTAAAATATAGTTGAGACAAACAACCCCCCCTCATACACACACACACACACACACACATTTACAGTCATTATAACTCCATCCTTGATACAGAAACTTGCTAAACCAGCTGCAACTCTAGACCAACTATTCAAATGATCCAGTGCTTATCTAATAATTTTACTTCTAGCCAGACTTATATACTACTTCCTCTTTTCTGACATCAACTGGATGCTTCCTCAACACATTTTCAAAGTGAACTGACTGTACTAAATCACTATCATCACTGATCAAATCAGTAGCTTTTAGCAGTGGAGCTCTGACTCAACGTCAGACTGAACGTGTACTACTGAACAGAAGAATGTCAATCAATCAATCAATCAGCGTTGAACATCAGGCCATGTGAACCGTGATGCTTTCACTTACTTTGACTTATTCATATAATATGTTTATAACAGTGATCTTAGAAGATGGTAACATTACAAGATGAACATTTCTCCCTCTGGACCTTGTGCTGCTGCAGCTTTTACATTAATCTGACTACATTCAATTTAGACTTGTGCTGACCCAGTAAGATGGCCGACTGTTACAGTAACCAGAGAGCTTATTCAGACATGAGACCCCCATGTTTAACTGCCCTAACGGGGTGCATGTCTGAAAGGTGCTATAAATAGCTTTGGTTGGCACCGACTGTAGCTACCTCGCTAACATGTTTAAAACACTTCATCTCCATAGTAACAGCACAAACCGCCACCTCCTGTAAGCAGGGGCAGCTGGCTTTGTGCCAACTGTGGCCCAACTAACCTGGAAACCCTTAAAACGTCCAGTGTGTGGGATTTAGTGGCATCAACCAGGGAAGTAGCAGATTGCAACTAACTGAACAACTGTGTGTTTTTGACGAGCTAAGAATGACAACGGGCTGTGAAGTGTGTAGGAAAAACGGCAAAGGCCCTATTTACAGCCAATGTTTGGCCTAAAGTGAAAATTAGCCAACAGTAGGATCAGTGCATGCTGCTCTGTCAATAAAAAACTATGGCAACAGGCTCTCATAATAGTAACCCCCTATGTCAGTTCCTGGTCTCCTGACTCTGTTATTGCTCCTGTCACTGACTCATATGGCCCCTGGGCTGCAGCTTAGTGTGACATGTAACCCCCACCCCCGTGCTGATACGTACGAGCTCATCGGGAAAACAAGCACTGAGAATAATCATGGCTATAAATATTTCTAAAAATGTCACATTAGTTTTATTTCTTTACTTCAAAGATAGTTCTCAGCAGTCACATATCTACAGCAGGTTTGTGTTAACCTTGTCAAAGCAAAAACACTTACGACACATATTTCACGCTAACAACAGCATTTTGGTCACACGATCTAAAAAAAGAAGATTATAAGCAAAGAGATTCTTTTTTTGACCTTAATAGAGGCCTGAGTCCTGTTAGAGTCAGAGAGATCACTTCAGTTCTTCCCAATGGTTCTTACACCCCCGAGAGAAATTGCCAACTAATGCAACTTTGTTCCTAATTAGTTCAGAGAATCTCCAACACATCCTGCAGTATTTATACATCCTTGAAGGCATATAGTATGCGCAGAGGACAGGGAAATATACTGTACTTATGTTTTCTAGCCAGTAGGTTCTTCAACTTTTTTTAAGCTGTGACCTAAATGAAAAATTCAGTTCACGACAGGACACAGGCTCATTAAAACATGTTGACACTGTTTTAATGTGCAGAGGCACCAAGAGAAGGTTCAAGATTCATTTAAGGTCCTAAGTCATGGTTCAAAAAGCCCTTAATCTAGGCCATTCATCACATTCTGATAGTGCCGGAGTCTATGAGACGGTATGAACAAAATTACACTTTCCAACGGGTAAAATGAAAAATGACACATTCCTCAGGGGAAAAATAAGAAAAACGGGGAATATATGGATTGAGTTTGCAAAGTCTCCAAAAGTGAATTGCTAATGACACGGCCTAACGCTGAAGGCAAGTTAAAACCTTTTCCCTTTGAATTTTGCTTGTGAGGCAATATTCTATTCAAGGGAGTGGCTTATAGGCCATTGCGGCTCAATACTGTGTGTGTGTGAACCCATACACGCACACACAAAATACCAGGCACAGATACTCACTCAAACATTCGTACAAGCATACACCCTTGTGCGCACACACAGTGTTTTATGACTAATTAATAGGTATAAATCAAAAGGATTATATGCATTATCGCAACGATATCAAAAGGATTGAAGATGTTTGACTTAAATACAGTGATTTTGTAGCTCTGTGTAGAGAACAAGCACTCTTTTTAAGACATCCTTTTCAGGTCATTTTACATTTTCTTACAGAGCAGCACTTACTTACAAATGGTAATACAATTTAGCGGCCTAGTATTTACACATTTAACTCCAGTTTTATTTCTCCTTTGATGAAGGGTTCATGATGAAGTGATGTAGGTTCATTACAGGTAGGAGGTCAACGTTTATAGGATGCTACATTAGTCCTCACCACGGACGATCTTCTCTGACTACAGTTTACTACAGTTTTTTCTCGAACCTAGGATTAAGTAGGCGATTTGAGTATGGGGTTGTGTGGGAACCCTGACAACAACTGCCGTGCATTTGTTTAACTTCTTGGGAACGACCTGGATGGATATTTGGTTAGCCACATGCATGTTTGTGTACTCTGCTTCTGGTTGGTCATTCAGGACACAGGCCATTTTAATCAAAGGTTATTTAAGTGTAACCTCACATGTGTTAGCTTCATTTCACGTGTATTAATTAAGAAGACATGGCTGTTGGTGTCCAGCTTAAAAACACATACCACCACTTTGTTCACAATTTCTGTGCTTATATATTAAAGGAAGTGAAATTAAATGGAGCAATGGAACTATCTCATATCTTTAATCTTTAAAAAAGATTAAAATCAAGAGCAAACACAAAACATTACATTCTACACTGAGAGTTTCTTACCTTGTCCTTGTCTTCTACCAGATCACTGAGTATGTCATCTGGGTCCAGAATCCCCCCGTCACAGTATTCAACATGGTGAGTACGAACCAGGAAATCTCCTTCCTATAATACAGGAGACAACCAATGTAAAGAAACAACTTAATATGTGACACCTTCATTTCCCATTATAGTATATGCAAATACAGTATGCATCTGACTTAGACTCCAGCAATCGGCAGTTGCCAATATATTTGCACACACATAATCATTGTGTGTAGAGTTTGCTACACACAACAAGCTCTCATAGCTTTAATAAAGAAATTACAGTCACCAAAAGGAAAAGAAAAACACTAATTTTCTGCATTAAACAGAAAATACAACCTAAGTTCATGTTACTTTCTAATAATAAACTAAGATTTTGTTAAGCGATCTTAAAACACATTCAAACTCGACAGAAACAAAATAAAAAAACTCTTTAGGCTTTATTAGTCTTTACACTGTTCCAACACGAAAATATTCTGGCTCTACGCGCTGTCTCTGCCTATCTGATGCCTATCTTTTGCCTCGCTGTCGGTATAAACAGTTTTGATTCAACATATTTGCAGGCAAGTGTTTTGCATCTCTGGTGTGTAAAGGTTTCTAGTCTATTCACTTTTAATATTATATAATGTAGCTTAAACTCCACATAAAACAGTGCAGCATCTTACTGTGACATTACGTATTCCCTACAAAAACAAGATCCTGGGTCGAGGGTTCATCAAAAACCAATGGAGAACGGTTTCATCTCATATCACATGCAGAATGGCAGGACAGTTTAGTTTTTATTCACACCTGGGGATATATGATAAAGAAACAATTACACTGACTCTTCCAAGTAGTACAATTAATCTGGGTTTTAATAACAAAATCTAACTCAATTCTTACGTCTTATTTTCTTAAAATGGGACTAAACCAATGCAAAAGCAAAAGGCCTCCGGTCACCAACTCCTTGCCTCTGCTCCTCATCTCCTCATCTCCTCATCTCCTCATTTATACACCTCTCAACTCCCCCTCCCTCTCCTCCCATTTCTGCCCTCTTCTTTGTTTCTTTCCTCCTTACATCTTCCACATCTTTCCCTAGGTACCTTGTACAGATTACAACTCCAGCCTGGCCCTTTCTCTCTCCCCTCCTCACTCCCTTCCTCCGCTGTGTTGGGTCTGTGATTAATGACATCGACACTGCACTGGACAGCTGACTACATAGAGCTGGTTGTTGAACAACATATTGAGACAACACACACACATCCGTGCGCGCACAAGTACACACAGAGCCACAAACAGCCTAAGGAAAGGTATGACTCAAAATGTTACAGGGTGCTGCTCCATTAAATCACTCTTTCAGGGTCAGGTGCTTGTCAATGCTTTTCAAAAACTCTCATCAGGGAGAGGGTGAGATAGAGCAAGGTGCTTTGAGTCCCTGGATATCACTGCAAGCCTCAATGTCAATACCAGTTCTTACTCTGAACTTGCTTATGCTGTAAAACTCTTTCCAGTAAATTACTTGCACTAAATTATTTGTGTAAATTAGTTTCTTTGTCCATATAATACAGGAGCTCTGGTTAGAGACAGGTCTTTTTTTTCTCATCTGCTTTACATACAAATCAATAAACCAGCAGAGGGAATATCAATAATTTTCAATAACTAGGTCCGAAGGGTTTGAAGCTGCATGGCTGTGTAATCTGTTGGTGTGGAGTTTTGCACATCACGTCACTTAACTGTGTTCATTAAGGCTAGGCACACAAACGCTTTTCAAATGCGTCAAGTTAAAAGACTTTCAAGTTAAGGTGTGTTGTAGTTACTAAGTCTACCTCAGTTATTCTCAGGATTGAGATATTCTCCACATGCTTAGGTGTTACGTGAGAAAAACTACAAGACCAAACATACAAAGTGTGATCTTGAGTCTTGTCATTCTTCACTGCCACCTGGCACCAGCTGATATGTAAAAGTTACTTACAAACAGGGTTGTGTTTGCTTACTCAAGATAAAGCATTCATCCCGAGTTAAATATAGCCTACGTCCATAAAGAAAACACAATTTCTTTTTCTATTATATCACAAAACCAACCACCATTCAAATCACTGTTACACAAAACACCGACACTGCGGCTGTTTATACTGTTAAATTGCCTCTCTCTCTTCCTCCCTCCCTGTTGGAATTCATTGTATGGCCCCATTGTAATACTGACTTGGCTGACACCCAGGCCAGATGTATGACGGAGATAGATTTTCAAACATTGTGTTATTTTCTCTTTTGCACAGCATTTATCTTCCTTGAGCACTATCAATCAGGGTTTTGGGGCATATTAACTCTGGGACAGCACATGTGAGTGTTTTTATGATTACTAAGGAAAATTTCAATGCCAAATTGTCATGTAAATTATTTTTTATCTTTTGTAGGCCTCAGCTTTCCACATAACATCTCACAGAGACCAGTGTTTTTATTACCGCTTCAGAATGAGTTCCAAGTAGTTTTACATTTTGCCTATACTAGTTTAATGGCAAGTCCTCAATCCATCATCCCCACACAAACAGTAAGTCGCTGTACAAGCAACTTTACGGACTATGCCTCGACAAAGAGACACCACTCTCACTAAAAGATTCTCACTGAAGGCATGATACACAAGATACTCCAATGTAATGTCTTGTAATGAATAACAAGACTACAGAGAAACATTGAATGCAAAATCATTGTCTTGCTTACAGTCAAATATCACATTCCAGCTAATCTTCTATTACGTGAGCTCACAAGAAAAATATCTTTTATGTCAACAAAGTCCACTCTCATCACCACGTCCACATCAACACCCTGGGGGGCCCTGAGGCCCCCTGCTGCCCCACAGTACAGTTCACACAGCCGACTATCCATTGTACTTTTCATTTCAGTTAATATTGTTCTATAGAGGTGCATGTTCCAAACAAATTAGCAATTCATCAAATTACAACAGGCTAATTGATACATCGTAAACATGGACTTTTCAGGGACCCTGGGGATCTGGGGCTTCAGGGCAGTTTGCTCACTTAGTGTGGTTAGTAATCTAGCAGTAGCAGCAGTCTGTGTATCACAGTGTTTCCCATACATTCATTTATTTGTGGTGGCCCACCACAATATTAACACAGACCACCACATATTGATCTTTTTTTGTTTCTATGTAAAATGCATAAAATCTTATTTCGCCGCAAAGGCCCGCGCAGCGTGATGATTTGTTCGGCCACCCCTTGCCCTGTTCTTGCTCTCTCAATCCCTCACAAACACAGACAACAGACCCGCCTGTGAATAGTCCCACCGCTCCATGCACACCTGACATCATCTTCAAAGCGACGAAGAGATTAGCCCGTTCAGTTTTCCAGAGGGTGGGAAACAGCACACGGGAGATTTACTTTGGTCTTGGGAAGGTGCTGCCTTTATTCACTTACAAACTGTAACTTACACTGTACATTTAAACTGACAACTTCACTGCTCGCCTATTCTTCGTCATCTCTCTCTGACACTCGCTACGTGCACACCTACAGACTGCCATATGTTCCTCACGCAACATTGTCAATGTCAGAAACCCAACTCTTTTTTTTTAGCACAGATGTAAGGATAGCTAGAATTTGTTATGTGTTTGAAACGACGTGAAGCAACGGAGCTGTATATACTGAGCATGGGTGTGCCTCCCTTCGTCACGCAGACATTATTGTTGTTTATAGCTTTATTCAGACATGACAGCACACTTATAGAAAGATCTGCATGCTCGCACCATATTTGGCAGCTGGTAATTGACAGGGAGCGTAGAGCAGAGACAGAGATGGACAAACGGTGAACAGCGGTGAGGTGGTGTGATTTCAATTTCTTGAAACACCACTCACATCACTTTGAGATGTCTGTAATTTTTAATGGCCATGACTCAATACATTAATCAATTAGCGTTAGAATTTGTGATGTTTTGAAACCCTATCAATTTCATTTCTAGCTACCGGCATGCCCTGTAGAGGAAAAACACATTTTCTCTCTGTAGTTAAAACTTTCCAGCGTCAGCCAGGATTACACAAGAATCACAACAAAATTATGTTATACTTACAGAAGGAAAACTACACCTGCTGTTGTTTTTAGGTCAACAACCCTCTTTGATTTCTTGCTACAGTAGGCAAGCCATACAGCTAAGAAGACGAGAGGTAGACAGATAAGACCTATGAGCACACTGATCTAATCTGATATTCAGGAGGAGTGCATGGATAATGTGCTACATGTTATTTTTGTGAACTGCAGAAACCCTGTGCCTCCAGGTCTGGCAGTTTAAAAACCTAGAGGGACGCTCAGATATTGTAGGACTAAAGATAAGAGCTGTAAACACACTGATATAATCTGAAAATCAAGGGGATTAGCACTTAATACAGTGTTTCGCCTGATACTATTACAGATAATCTTTGGCAATTTTAAGTATTTGACTCTCATGATCTAGAAATTATTAGGTTGTAGTAAAATCCCACCAGAGTTAAAACATAACTTCCCCCCTTTCCTTATCTGTGAACAGTAAGCCTTTCTAGTCTGGCAGTTGACACAAGAGTTTGGTATGCACGCTGTTGTCAAAAGTGGAGGCAGTGTAAAGAAATGGACTCCGCAAAACAGCGATCCAAGGTTAACTTTAAGCAAACTCTGGAGCTCATGCTGTCGACACAAAATGTGAAGACTGAATACCGCCGTAGGTCGAGTCTGTGGCAGCTCCCATCCATTCCACCCAAAAAAAATAAACACATTTCTAATATTTAGGTCCAAGGTCAAAACCGGTCGGGTCTGGAAGTATCAAGCAATTTCATCAAACAGCTCAGTTATGCCAGTAATGTTAAGTATTATTGGGACAAAGTGAAGGCAGTGAGTACTGATGCAGCACATACTGTAAATTATTGGAAAAATAACTAAATCCAACTTAAATTGTGCTTTCACCCGTCTTGTGACCCTGCAGTAACAAAGCCTGTCTTCTGTAAAAAGCAAAGCAAGAAAATAGCTGGTGGAGGTGCCATGGTAACCATTACTTACCATGTTAACATTTCAGCATTTCAAATTGAAGCGGTGCAAAAGGTGTTTCTTCACTCATCTAAGGAGAT